CCTCGGTCTGTGATGACACAGGATGGAGCACCGTGGCGTAATACAATTCTCTCGATGAAAAACTGAGCAACTTCACAAGCCGTGCTTTTAGGAAGCGCCTTAGTTTCAGCATAGCGGGTTAGATAATCTGTAGCGACGATTATCCACTTGTTGCCGGAAGATGACAAGGGAAACGGACCCAGGAGGTCCATGCCGACTTGATCGAAGGGTGTTCTGGGTGGCTCGATAGGGTGAAGTAATCCCGCAGGCTTAACAGATGGGGATTTTCGGCGCTGGCATTCGCGGCAGGCTTGAACGTACTGTTTAACGCAAGCGGCAAGTTTCGGCCAGTAGTAAGACTTTCGTACCCTAGCGATGGTTCGGGTGATGCCCAGATGGCCCGATGGAGGCTCGTTGTGGCAGGCAAATAGAATTTCCTCACGCAGCTCTGCGGGGACGACCAACAGGTAAGTTTTGTTGCTGGCGGCTGCGTTCTTCTTGTACAACACGCCCTGTCGTAAGCAGAAGGATGACAATCCGCGAGTTATATGCTGGGGCAGTGATACGTTGCGGCCCTCTAGATGTTCAATGATAGGTCGCAATTGAGCATCTGCTCGCTGCCGTAAAGCCAAGTCTGTTACGCTTACGGAGCCAAGGAAAGGGCAGTCCTCTTCGAAGCTCTGAGCGGCAGGCTCAACTGGCGCGCGTGACAACGTGTCCGCATCTTCGTGTGCACGACCGGACTTGTACACGATAGTGACGTCGTACTCCTGCAGACGTAGGCTCCACCTTGCCAGTCGTCCGGAGGGGTCTCTGAGGTTCGCAAGCCAGCACAGCGAGTGATGATCCGTCACTACTCTGAATGGACGGCCGTAAAGGTAAGGTCGAAACTTAGCAATTGCCCACACGACAGCAAGGCACTCCTTCTCCGTGGTACTGTAGTTTGACTCCGGGCGTGTTAGGGTTCGGCTTGCGTAGGCGATGACCTTTTCAATTCCCTCCTGCCGTTGGACGAGTACCGCGCCCAGACCGACGTTACTGGCGTCGGTATGAATTTCTGTTTCGGCTTCCTCGTCGAAATGTCCAAGAACAGGTGGTGATGCCAGGCGAAGCCGAAGCTCTGTGAATGCTGATTCTTGTTCAGCACTCCAAACGAACGGCGTATCGTCTCTAGTGAGTCTAGTTAATGGTTCGGCAATTTTCGAAAAATTGCCTATAAAGCGCCGGTAGTACGCGCATAGACCAAGAAACCGCCGCACACTTTTCTTATCGGCAGGAGTCGGGAAGGCTGCGACAGCGGCGGTTTTCTCAGGGTCAGGACGGACGCCTTCTGCACTTACGACATGTCCAAGGAACTTTAGTTCTTCGTAACCGAAATGGCATTTTGCGGCTTTAACGTAAGGTTAGCCGTCCGAATCGCCTCAAGTACTTGTCGTAGTCGCTTCAGATGTTCGGAGAAGCTGGTTGAAAACACGACCACATCATCCAAGTACACAAGGCAGCTTTGCCATTTTAAGTCAGTCAACACAGTGTCCATCATGCGTTGGAAGGTAGCTGGCGCAGAGCAGAGTCCGAACGGTAGCACCCGAAATTCGTAGAGGCCATCCGGCGTGACAAAGGCGGTTTTTTCGCGGTCGCGCTCATCAACCTCAATTTGCCAGTAGCCACTCTTTAAATCCAGGGAAGAAAAATACTTCGCTCGTCGTAGTCGGTCAAGCGAGTCATCAATACGCGGCAGCGGATAAACATCTTTTTTTGTGACGTTGTTGAGCTTTCTGTAATCTACACAGAAGCGAAGCGTACCGTCCTTCTTCTTAACCAGAACGACCGGTGAGGACCAGGGACTGTTCGAAGGCTGGATAACGCCGTCGTCGATCATTTCTTTCACTTGCTGCTTGATAGCTGCGCGTTCTGTCGGCGAGACGCGGTATGGCTGTTGGTGAATAGGTCTTGCGTCGTCGTAAGTGATTATCCTGTGCTGTGTAATTGGCGTCTGACTCACTTTAGACGACTGAGCAAAGCACGCCCTGAATTCAAACAATAGCTCTCGCAAGGCCCTCTGGTTCTCTTCTGGCAGTGCACTGTTCATGTCAACATCTATTACGGTTTGTCCATTGCGGCTACTGTCTTCACAGGCAAAACACTCAATGACGTCCTCCAAGGCTTCAGCGTAGGCGACCGCAGTGCCCCGGAAAAGGTGACGATGCTCATTGGTGAAATTTGTAATCATGACCTCGGCTGTACCGTTCCGAATGTCAATGATGCCTCGTGCCACAGAAATTCCAAGCGCCAGCAGCAGGGAGACGTTGCACTCTGCCACTGTTTCACCGTCACTGGTTCCTTCGGAAGTCACCTGAATTAGGATACTTGCACGAGGTGGTATTGTGACACTGTCGTCGGAAACACGGAGGGCGGTTGTACGGCGGTTGGAGTCCCTTGACGTAGCGTTGACTGTCGAAAAGGAAATGCAGCGTCGCCGTAGGTCGATTACGGCGCCATATTCCCGAAGAAAATCGAGGCCGAGAATTAATTCGCGGGAGCAGTCACGTAGCACGATGGAGCTGACCAAAAACGTGCAGCCTCGTATTTGTAGCCTGGACGTGCACAAACCAACCGGCGTTACAACATGTCCGCCAGCTGTACGTACATGCGATCCTGTCCAAGGCATTATCACTTTCTTCAAGGTACGTGCCAATTGTCCGCTAATAATCGAGTAGTCAGCACCAGTGTCTATTAAGGCAGTTAAATTGCGACCGTCGAGCAGCACAGGTATGTCCATTGAAAAGTCGCTCAGCTGGGATACAGGCGCCGGCGTAGTCGAATTTCCGTTGGTCCGATGTCGCGTCGATTGGAGGGCGAGGTCTTCATCACGTCGAGAATCAGCGGCCTCGCCTCGAAAGGTCGCTGGCGTTAGTTTTCCAGGCGAGGGCTCGGAGACCGTCCTTGCGGCCTTCGATTTCCGTTGCCTGAATAAGATGACGACCGCGGTGACGGTGAGCGCGACTGACGCCTGAGTGGGACGTTCTGCCGAGCGATAAAATCTTCAATTTCTGGTGGTCTCTGTCCAAACCGGGGGCGGGGTGAATTGGCAGGAAAACCCTGCAGCCCAAGTCGGCGGTACTGGCAGTCTCGGTAGAGGTGACCCGCTTCACCGCAGTGGTAGCAAAGCGGTCGTCGGTCGGGCATGCGCCATATGTCGGATTTACGCATGACGGGTCGAGTGTCTGCAAAATAAGGGACCACCTGTGCGGACTGCAGTGTGGCGTACGGGGTTGCGGCTGGTAGTGGGACTGGTGCAGGTGCGTTGTGTTCGAACGTGTCGGTATAAGTGGTGCGCTGGAAACCACTCACTGGGGATGGTGTCGTGGACGACGGAACGGTGCGTCTCAATACGTCTGCGTAGGTCACCCCTAGAGGTTCACTTGAAGTTGCGAACGCCTGAAGTGGTGCAGCAACCTGCGTTGGTGTCTCGCGGCGAGGTGTGCCGAGCGCATGCTGAACTTCGTCACGTATGATGGTGGCGATGCAATTCGTGGAAGGCTGCTGCTGCGCCTGGTTCAGCTGTTGCAGCTGTTGTAGCTCGTCGCGAACAACCGAACGTATCAGCTCGCGAAGCGCTCCCACGTCGGTCGGGAACGAGCCTAGCCCGGTGGTATAGGTAGCATTCACTTGCCGATCGTACTGGTTCCGCTGCTGCAGCGCCTTTTCCATGGCGACGGCTTCAGTGAGGAACTCCGCGACCGTTCTAGGCGGACTACGAATGAGTCCAGCGAAGAGCTGCTCTTTCACACCTCGCATCAAGTGTCGCAGCTTCTTGTCTTCCGGCATGGTTGGATCGGCGCGAGTGAACAGATGAACCATATCCTCCACGTATGTAGCCACACCTTCATTAGGCATCTGCATGCGGGACTGGAGGGCCCTTTCAGCGCGCTCTCGACGATCGAGACTCGAGTACGTTTCGCGGAGCCTGTGACAGAACTCATGCCACGACGTTAGGAGGCCCTTGCGGTTCTGGAACCATGTGCGAGCACCATCCAGAAGACTAAAGTACACATTCTTGAGCTTCGCTACTTCGTCCCACCCGTTGAAATCCGCTACGTACTCGTACTCAGCCAGCCAATCTTCCACATCTTCATAGAGGCCACCACGAAAGGGACTCGGAACACGTGGTTTTGTAGCGTGTAATGAGTGGGTGCAGCTGCGGGTGCAGCGGTTGGAGCAGCGGCGGCTCCAGCGGTAGGGGAAGCGGTGACAGCAACAGTATTCTCCATACCAGTCGACGTACTTGTACTGTGAGGCACAAACTCGGGGGACAGTCCTCGAATCCTCCGACTGAAACGGTGTACCGGCGTAAGCTCTGGGTTTTGGGTCACGTTCCGGCTGCTAGAAGGAGTCTGTTGCATAGGGGAGGTTACCCCGCACCTCCACCATTAAAATGTCACGTTAAAGAGACAGGAGACGTTTTTAAGGCGTCCTCACAAAAGTCCGAAGAGCGGTCGGCTCAGCGCAGCCAAAAACAGAACAATGGCACGAGGGGAACTGCCACTTCGTCTGCCTCTTTTGCGCTGGCAGCTCAAGCGCGCGGCAATATGGATACGTATACATATACGGTGCGCGACAGCAATGCAGACACTGACGGCAAAATTCAGCCCAAAGTGTCCATATAATTGCTATTGCAATAAAAGGACAGCGTATACTGCTGTTTAAGATCACAAAATATAACTAAGTTTTAAGCATGATATTGCTGATGTCGATAAATTTCTGCTTGTTTGTCTTGGCCGTGGTGTCCAGAGGTCACAGGGTCATGTGTGGTCACTTGGGGAGATCAGGATGATCGAACAGAATTGAACAGTGCATTAGGCAAATTTTGCCAGTGTTTTTCGTGCACCACCTGAAATTCTCTGCAGCCCACTTATTGGGTCGCACTGAATTTTCAAACCTTTTTGTGTCAACAAGTATCAAAGAGGAAGCATGGCTTGCGATTGCTGCGAATTCCGCTGATTTTTCTGTGCCCTTTCCAGGACGTGTTGCACGAGCGGGGCGCACTGGCACTGCATATTCCTTGGTTGCACCAGATGAGGCTCCGTACCTCCTTGACCTACATTTGTTCCTGGGGCGAGAGTTGAGCCTCTCCAATGCCAACTCCAGTCCAGGAGGTAAGTGGTATCAGCTTTTTATCTTCTTAAAAGTGAGACTGGCAGATAAGAGGATTATTACTGTTGAAAAACTAAAACAAAAGTTAAACTATCAGGGATATTATTCCTTATCTATTCTTCTTTGCTGCAAGTGGTGTAAAGAGTTTATTAAATTATTTTTGGTTGCCTTTCATTCATTTTTTCTTCTTCTTACAGAGTTGTTTGTGATCTTTCATACCTATTGTGTTTCGTTTGTTAAAGTGTTTAGCAAGTGGTGTACTGTAACATTTTTCTTTTTGCCTTTAATGTTCATGTACTTTGCATCTGTCTGAAATAAGTGTACTGATTTATTTGCATTAGAGCTGTGCAAATAGTGAAATTTTGGGTGCGAAGCCAATGTGAATTTTGAAGTATGGGTTCTTATTCAATCGAATAGTTTTTGAATATTTCTCAAATATTTTAAAAATATTTTTCGAATGTTTTGAGACAAACTTGCAGAAAAAGTTGGGAAGGATTCCTAAACGTATTCTAATGAAATAACAGCATGGAATATTTCTTTTGACTGAATTGACAAAGTGCTGGTGTAGGGGGGGGGGGGGGGGGGTCATAGTTGTCTTAGCGAGATTGAGGCAATGCAAAGGCCAAATTGTATTCATGTACATCATTTGGTGCAATCAAAGTGTTGTTAACAGCACTTTACACGCGAAAGGCAAAGATGCCAATTCCTCAGCCTCTCCTCCTATTTGAGCTTCTGTGGAAGCGCAACCGACGTGGTATACAAGAGTGCGCACCCTTCTTGTCCGGAGTCCCAAATCTGCCTCACAAACGTCATTATAAAAACATCTAAAATTCCGGATGCTAAAAATCCTCGGCGTCCAACTTTTCGGGCTTCCTGCCCAAATTTCAGCGCTATAACAGCACTAGTGGAGCCCCTATTTCTTCCATCTTTAATCGCCATGTTGGAACCAGCATTTCCTTGAGCCAATACACTTGCGACCGTAGCAGAGCCTGAAAGGGAGCTTTGCCTCTATACGAGAGTGTGATCTCTGAAGGGGCCACTGCCAGTTGAGCGTTGACTGTATTTGTTATCGGGGAATTCCAATAGTAAAATTTCAGTGCAAATTTAATTGAATAGGAAACAGTACTAGAAAACTGTTTCATGTGTGCTTTCATTTTACATTTTGTAAGTGTCCTCTTTCTGAGGCTACTGCTGCTGTATCAGTGGAACAGCCATAGCACAATTCCTGGGACTATATTTGTTTTGTCCTAAATAAAGCAATATAAAAATAGCAAGGAAGGAAGCAGAGTGCTCCAGGCTAATTCTTATTCTAAGTGGAATTTTTCGGAGGACACAGTACCAGTATAGAGTGAAGCACAAATGCACATCAGTGTTTGTGCAGCCACTTGTATTTGTGCTCTCCATTCTTGGGCTGCAACAAATGCAGATGTACTGAATTGCTAGATGAATTGAAGTCCGCTGGCATTTTATGACGTTTGTGTGCTTCGTGGGACCCCCTTGTAACAAACCCAAATGAGTGCACTATCGAGGCATTGCACTCAACAGTGAAAGATACTTTCGGTGGATGTGCGAGCCAGGAATTCTTTCAACGCATCAGCAGTTAGCAGTTGCACCGCAGGTGCAAGCAATTCACCCTTACAAGCTTGCCTAAAATTTATGAATTGTGCTTAAGAAGAGAACTGTTGCTCAAACACTGCACTTCTTGTGCCAATGTTGCTTTCAATTTTTCTCATCCAGAAAGCGGTCTTTGTGGCCGAGTACCTCAGGCAGTCATTGACGAAGAGTTGGAGCTACTACGGTGTATGCAGCAACAGTCCGTAGATCTGGTACGTCGCTTTTATTCTGTCAGTTGTACGATTTCCTAGGCCTGGTTGTGAAAGGTTAGCTCTTTTGATACACATTATGTTGCCGACTGTGTTCTGCTACTTGAGTGCTGCCCCTGGTTTATCATCAGTCGCACTTTCAGCAAACCAATATGGGCCGAATATTCTTGTGTTTCAGGGGCCTGGTGCAGGTGAAAAAAAAAGCGCTAGGTCAGACAGTTTTTCTGAAAATTTTTCATGGAGCATGCATTCTCAAAGTGGGTTCCGCAAAACGCAGGGGTTCTAGGAAGGGCACATGTAACAGCGTGTAGAATTAAAAAGGACGACACTGACAGAGTGCAAAGAGCGCTTGCCCAGCAAGCAATCATCCAGGAAGAAAATATTAGAGTCACATGAGTGGTCAGAATGAATGTGATGCACTCTTATTTTACCCCCATTAAATTCATGACTTTGACAAGAAAACTTAAGAAATTTTGCATTTAATGCAGCCATCACAAGCCACATTTGTACATCAGGTGTCTGTGTGTAGTAAGAGAACAAGGCGGTAGTAAAACTGGAGGCTCGTCGTTTAGCATGCACCTTGAAAATTGTGGTTCTGGACCAGGGGTGAGACAACGCTCGGAGCGCTGGTAATTTATGAGCACAGTTAATAAGAAGTGCATGGAGATCAATTCGGTAATTCTGTGAGCTGCAACAACGGAAGATATTGGCTGTTCAGAAAAACATTAACGGGCACACAGGGCACATTGTGGCTCATGTAGTGCTGGCGTCCACATCGCTCTGTCCTTATACGAGCTAATTTGCCACTGCAATATGCCGGTTTTATAAACATAACGTGCAATGACCGCTCTGATACACACAAGGGGCATTTGTGTTGGCTGTGGGCTATACGAACACTTGGACTTAGCCTGAGGACAGGTTTATCTATGCCTGTTTGGCGATGTGACTGGCACAATTTGTTTTTGTTATACAGAATATAAAATAGGCTTTTGCACGTCTGATGCCATTTGCGTGAACATGTTGCTTAGGATGTGTGGTGCCTGAAGCATGCACTGTATGTTAGGCAGGCGCTTTACACGACTCTTGGAACGGGGGCAAGGGGTGAAATCGCTAGCATCTGAAGGTGTTGTTGCAAGTTTCATGTCAACAGTGATGGCATCCAGATTGAAGATAACAGGCTAATGTGTTAGTTCTTATACTGTGGTTTCATCAAGAGGCATCCTCATGGATGATTTGTTCAGAAATTTTCTTTCTGAGAAACTGCCTGCCGAGACATGTAGCACATTTTCATTACAATGATGGTGGGTCGAAGTATGGCTGTTGTGCTATCGAATCGAATCTCGGTGATTCGTACTTGAAGGGGCCCGAAAAGTTGTTCGATTGAAAGAATTCGAATTAATGAAAGCTAGATGAACCGAGGGCTCACCGTGCAGTAGCACATGTCCATTGAGCTAACACACGAGGCGAAAGTTTCAGAAGACTTACATTTATTCACAAATCACAGGACATCCGTCATTAATTGAAGTAATCGGTAATGCGCGTCTGCACACGTTTGCCTTGCAGCGAGTCAATTTCGCAAGCAGCTTGCAAAGCATTTTTACTCCGCCCTCAGCATTCTCCTGGTGAAAACAGTTGCACCCGGCAATGTTCAGCGTCGACACTATCTAAAGATGACAACAACAACAACTGCGCCTCGGCTACGCGACCACAGCGTGGCCAGCACGTGATGAGAAAGGAGGAGCGTCTCCATGCGAAGAGAAGCAGATCGGCATTTGAGAGAGAACCAACACTCCACGGCAGCTTTTTTTTTATCTCGCTCTTTGCACGCGCTGTTAATAGGAGAAGAATCTATGTGTCAAGGATGAGGAAGGGGGGAAGCGTGGCACCGGCCCATCAGAGAGAGCCAACACTTCGCGACAGCTTTCTTCTTTTTTTCTCTCTCTCTTCGTGCCCGGCATTGAAAGGAGAAGGGTCTTTACGTGGCAGGGACGAAAAAGGGAGAAACGTGACACAGGCGTGGCGCAGAGCATCATTTGAGAGAGAGAGCAAGCATTCTACTGCAGCCTTTTCTTTTCTTTGCTTTGCACGCAGCGTTGAGGTGTCGGAGGTGCCGCCACGAGATGCGAGATTTGGTGGGGTGCTGAGAGCATTTTTGGAGTGCAGTATGTTTGAATTACTCGTCACAAGTGCTTGCACGTTCGAATTACCGGACGTTTTCGCCCATTGGAGTACACATAGCTTTGACGGGACCTCAGCATGAGTTGGAATTAAGCGGAAGTTCGAATTAAGCTTGTTCGAATTAATGAGATTTGACTGCATTTTTTATTGACAACGATGATTGGTACAAGTCGATTCCTGCTGTTATTTGTTGTTTATACGTTGTCTGTAGCAAAACATGGAGCGCGTCTGCAGCAATGCCATGATCCAGTATCTCAAATCCCGGCCGGCTCCTTCGAGCGAATCGGTGAAACGGATGAAGCAGTACCTCAGGGAGGACCTACCGCCACACCCACTCTTCCAAGGTGAGTCGGCGTACGAAAAACTACCTAGGCATGCAAATATTAAGAATTGAAATGATGAATTTAATTTACTTGGTCTAGTTTTACTTGGTCCTAGAATTTGTCTGATTTGGCTTGGTCGTTAAATTGCATTTTTGGTGTTTGTAAATATGTACATTTTTGGTGTTTAGTAGCTGTTGAATAATTCAAGTTGTGACTTGTACCGCCAGTTTCATCCTAGCATCTACAGTAAGCTCAGCAACCAAAAGGTCACACAGGGGAGCATGCATGACGTTATCTAGCCGCCGCTTCAAGTAGTGTAGTTGCACTTCCTCCTAATTGTATCTTCCACTGTTGACAGAAGCAGGTCTTGCCTTTGACTGAGTACTGGCATCAGCATGTACCACGACATTTTTCAGGATTTTCCAGAAGATGAAGTGACAGTACTGTATAGACCACGTACAGCCTAACCACTTATACTGGAGGACCGGTTGCAATGTGGTCTTTTTCGACTCCCCTTTAACCTCCCATAGAGCCCCATGTATACACATACTGCATATTGCACAGTCCCCCAAGATGATAGACCGGTTATAATGTGGTTGCCAGAAAATCTCTGACAAACGAGGTAGCGAGTGAGCGTCTGAAAGAAGGTGCACGTAGTGCGCCCCTGAGAAGTGAGCGAAGAGGTCGTTACAGAGAAGGGGATACGGAGTGAATGAACAAATGCCAAAGGGAGGAAAAAGAAAAGAACGCGGCACGCTGCGCTCGCTCACCGAGTGTAAGGAGGGTGGTTACCTGGGCGCGAATAAAGCCCTTTCACTGGTGCCGACGCGGCTACAGTGTACTAGCATTGCTAGCATGGCTCCTGCTGCTTGCCGACTGGAGCAGTGGCTAAATGGTTAGAGCATCCGCTTCCAGTATTAGGGATACCGGGTTCAATTCCCAGAATTGACCGGGAACCCACCAGTTTTTCCCAGTGGGTATAGGAGTACTCCGACCTGGTGCTCTGTTGTTTATGGGTACTCATCTTGAAAGGTAGCCGCAGAAGGTTCTGCGAAGGCACCTGGGCGTACCTAAACCCACCACAGCTTTAGTGAAATAGTTGAGCATCCACCACTACTGTAGAAGACAGACTATTGCTGCCACCAGGGACCTACTGGTTAAATATGTACGAGCATATTTCTAGCCTGGTGTACGGCAGAACAAAGTTTATACAGTCGAGCCCACATATAACGGCCCCACTTAAAACGAACTTTTGCTTAAAACGAACAATATCCACGTGACTGTCAAAATATACATTGGTTCAATGGCACAAAATCGCACTTACAACGAACGTTTCCGAGCGCCGCTGATCGGTTACAGCGAACGGAGTAAGCGGTCTGCCGACTTCCCGGGAAACCAATTTCGAGCACCGATCAGGCATCGGCGAGGTGCCCATACATTCTTATTGTTAAACGCCGATTCTGCCTTTGCGCCCCTCTAGTTGCTGCTCTCCCCGACCGCTTTTTGTTACGCACCCGTCCGTACTTCGTCCCCCCGCTACTCTGAGCACCCCGAATCGGCAGACGAGGCCCGTGTTTTCACACTGCCACCAATCTTTCGAAGACCGGTCGGCCACCTACCCTGTTTTTGATCGCTGGTACTGTCGTTGGCGTCACCGGCCTGGAGTGAACAGACCATTTGCCAACATCGTCGGCCACCGACTGTATCCGATAGTTTGCATCTAGTGCACACGCGTACGCTACCTCACCGACTCTGATAATTTGCAATTCGTATCGTGTTTAGGACTTGTCGCTCACTTTGCACTCAACTCAGCATGCCTTCGCGCGCGTGCGGAAGCGCGAAAACAGCTGTTAATTGGCGCGGAACAAATCGCGAGATATCGAAGTTCGTGAGGCCACGCAAACCTGCCAGTGCAACAAAACGATTTTTTTACCACAGCCGCCGATTCTTCGAACGCTGCCGCGCGCACTGAACCAGGCAGCTATGCTTTGACTTCCATGCGCACTGACACTACTCTTTCCAAGTTTTACGTGCGAGTTTCGCGGACCTTTCAAGCAAGCTACCTAACCTGCCTCCTTCTCGTGTGTTTTGGTTTTCAAGGTCGCCCTCCCACGCATCCTGCCCTCTCTTTATCGCAACTTCTTGTCCTTATCTCGCAAGTCTGCTCTCCTGTCTTGATCACAACCCCTTCGCCCGTCTTTACCGCTCCGCGATGCCCGCCGCGCTGGCTCGAATTAGTTTCGTTTTCTGACTGAAAACGCACCCAGAGCTGTTCCACGCGGTCTGGCATGTGCGTCGCGTGTGCGCGTCTTGCTCGCTCTTGGTGTGCGTGTGTGATCATGATGGCCGACGGGAAGACTAGCATGTTTTTTCGTGCCGCTCAACGAAACGTCGAAAGTGTGACCGCTTGGCTTGAGCGTAAGCCGCGCGTTAGGTGCCGCGTTGCGGAGCGCTTGCTTATAGCTGTTGACCACCTGGCAGCCAACTTGCCGCTTCGGGCGTCCCGGTATTCAGCTGTGGAGATGGTGAATATTTCGTGGGCGGCGGTGACGGCTACATGTGCGCGAAACTATTTTCGCGAGGTCGACTTTGTCGATCGTCGGGCCCGATGCCGAGCCTGAAGCTTCTAAACAGGACCATTGCGGCAGCGATTTGTGGCAGCGCATCGTCGACTCCGACCTGGGAGAGCGGGTGGGACATCTGTTGCGATGATTTAATTATGGCCGATAATGATGCCGACACTGCGGAACCATGCATGGATTGGGGCATTGTGAATGAAGTACGTGGCGAGAGTGATTTGGAGGAATAGGATTGCGAGAACGACGAAGCTTTGGAGCCAGTGCCTCATGCAGCGTATGCCACGGGCCTCGGCGAACGAGCACCCTGCTGTTTTAAATGAGCTCGAGACCGTCCTTATCGCTTCTGCTATTCGAAACACATGCATCACGGACTTTTTGGGGCAAAAAAAAGTTTGTTTTCTCTCGCAACTTTTTTAAAATGCTGTGTTTCATTTACTATGAACTCCGGGATACAACGAACGGATGCCGCGTCACTATCAGGTTCGTTATAAGCTGGCTCGACTGTAGTCACCTGGGAGGGCATTCACCCTGTGAAATATTGGTGGCATTGGACAACCAGATCACGGGGCTACCAGAAAATTAAGGTCATCTTTTTTTTTGCGCTTGAGAGGTTTATGTTGGGAAAACTGCCGTTGTTATCGATCTTGCTATAGATGTTGTGTTTTACCTCGTCCATAAATTTAAAAACATTTACAGCTTTATGAAGCAAGCTTTCACCTTAGTTGCCAGTGCGTGTTCTTACATAGGCTTGGCAGGTTTTTGTCTTTGTTTATTTCCTGGACGTGAACGCAAACTTCATATCACGCACGGTGTTCTTGGTTCAGTGCTTGAGTGTGATCTTTCCGGTGCCAGGTCTTGATGACTTGGCCAAACTTCCTGTGATAAGGTACCGAATGGCTGGCTAGGCCTAATCAGCATCGGTTGCATTTCGGTTTCATTCATTCCGGCGGTTTGGAATGAATAAAACGCATTGCGGTAGCTGTACTTGAAGGGAAGGAGTACACATCGTTAATTAAAATGAGAGTGGTACATGCAGCACTTCAATGGTAGTTTGGGATTTGATCGCGATGTATTGAAATCGGGTGTGTGCCTGTAAAATAAAACGATTGGTGCCTTTTAGCGCACGAAATTTCAGCCGTGATTCGACATAGTTTCTGTGTAATGCGCGCAATCGAGGCAGTCTGAGAGAAGTAGCGGACGAATTTCTGCGATGGTGCTTTTTTTTTTGTTAGGCCTTAACTCCTTTCATGTTCATTTCATTGGCAACGCTAGTGTTCGGACATTAATTTTTTAAAATTCAGAAATTTAAATGGTTGTAAGCATCAGGCATCGCGTGCTTGGATTCTCGGACACGCAAGTTACATGACATGTTTTGCCTAAGTGCAGCTTTTAAAAAAGGTTATTTTCGTTATGGTGCAGATATTCGTGACTCCAGGGTACTTACTTGCGTTAAAGGTTTAAAGGTGGTCTATACTGTATCTGGATATAATTTTTTTGAGACATGTGAAAAACTTTTGCCCTTAAGAAGGATCATATCGATAAGTGCATCTGTAAATGCTACATTTTAGCAGTACAGCAGCACTTATGCTACTGCAGTCTTTCGTTGTTGTTGACTGCAAGACTTCGTAGCTTCTGCTGTCAGTTTTGTGAAGAGCGTATCTGCTCTGTTAGCCACAAGACGCAAGACACTTAATTAAGGTGCTTAATAGAATTACTTCATCCTTCTAGTGCACAGTAAAAGAAATTAAATTCACTGTGCATCCTTGAACTGCCACTGATGTTGCTCTTTGCTATTTACTCTTTCTCCGCAGTCAAGTCAACAGATGAAGATACAAGAGCAAAACTTTTACAGGGCATGAAGAAGTTCAAGCCAGCCAGTGTGAGTTCAGTGCATGCGTCGTGTTTATTTTCAATTTTAAGTGACCTTCTTTTTCTGCTCAAGAATCTTACCTCTGCGGCGAATGCATTTTTGATGGAGGCGAAAATGCTTGAGGCCCGTGTACTTAGATTTAGGTGCACCTTTTAAAAAACTACAGATGGTCGAAATTTCTGGTGTCCTCCGCTACAGCGTCCCTCATAACCATGTGGTGATCTTGGGATGTTAAGCAGAGCAACTGTTATAATAAGATTCTTACCTAGCAATTATGCAACAAGAGCAGGTTCAGCTGCTGTTTGAATATGCAGACCATTATACAGTATTGGTTACTTTGCGTTAGGTAACAATGCGTTGGATGTACTGTAGTCTGTGACAACCAAAGAATAAATATAAGCCCTCTCCCCGCCCAACGAGGCCACATTGCCCTCATTTTCCGTGCCTCCGCACTACAAAAGAAGTAGTTTCCAAACAATCGCAAACATTTTCACACATACAACTATTGAGAAAACACAGAATTCAGCGCCAGCTTAGTGATATATAATGACACAATGTGACTTCAAATTACGCGCGCTAGCAAATACTTGTGCCTTCTAGTTGATTTGCGACGCACGAGCCTGCGGGACTCAGCTGCGCGCGAACGTGTTGGAAAAAAGAGAACGTAGAAGAAGAGGCAGAAGTGAATCCTTGAGACAATCTAGCTGTGTTATTATTCTCAGGCACAAGTTCGCACTGCCTACGTTAGCCTATTAAAAGAGTTCATTGAAGAGTTCATTACAAATCTGGTGGAGGTGCTGGGTATGATGCCAAGCCCCTCTCGAGTGATGGAGCACAGTCCAGAACCACAGCAATTTCGACCCAACGAGCTGACGCCTGTTCATCAGCGCTGCAGTCGACGCCTATGTGGTGAGGGTCCTGAATTTTCACCTTTATCGACTTCGCTTGGAACATCAACGGCTGTGAATGGGTACGCAACCGACATGACAGCTCAGGTCACTCCAGCCAACATTGTAGTAAACCAGCCAATGCTACCAAAGCCTTTCCACGGCGAAAGCTATGAGGACGCAGAGGACTGGCTTGGACACTTTGAACGCGTCGCAAAGGCTAACAGATATGGGGAAGAGCGCAAACTTGGAAGTGTTTACTTCGCACTGGAAGATAGCGCACGAACGTGGTATGAAAACCACGAAGTTACCTTCCGGTCATGGAATGATTTTCAACGGGAGCTGCTCGCTGCTTTCCCGGACACAGACCGCAAAGAGAGAGCTGAAGCTGCGCTCCAGACAAGAAATCAGCGAAATAACGAAACTGTCGCCATGTATCTGGAAGACATGTCTCGCTTATTCCGCCGAGCAGATTCAAATATGAGCGAAGACAGAAAGCTGCGCCATCTAATGCGAGGCGTGAAGCAAGAACTCTTTGCAGGACTAATTCGAAGCCCGCCGCGCACCGTCGCCGAGTTTCGTTCCGAAGCGACTACAATGGAAAGGACGCTACAACAGCGAGCAAGGTTATACAACCGGGATGCGATCGTCACTTCCGTGGACATGTTGCCACCAGTCTTCGGTAACGGCATGGAAGCACTACGCGAGCTGGTGCAGTCTGTTGTGCGAGAAGAGCTGTAGAAGCAGCGTTTTGACCAGAACGCTCCAATGCTTTCGTCTCTGGCCGATGTTATTCGTGAGGAGGTCAGGCAGGTGGTACGTGAACCTTCGAGCAACGCGCAGCCAGGGCCGCCACTACAACAGACGACGAGAGTGACGTATGCTGATGTGCTACTACGAGGACCTCCAGGACGTGCAGACGTCGCGGTGGCTACACCTATGCAGTACCGGATGCCGCCGAGCACCCTGCAGCCAACGCCAGAGAGAAGACTAAGGAAGAGCGATGTCTGGCGCACTCACGACAGGATACCGCTGTGTTACCACTGTGGGGAGCCTAATCATCTCTACCGAACGTGCCACTACCGCCAGGCAGGACTACGTGGTTTTCCTGTTAATGCACCTCGACCACGAAATGGTGAACGTCCCTTCGAAATTGAAGAATATCTGTCAGGTCGTCAAACCTCAAGTGGCTTCCAACGACACCAACCTCGTGCAACGACTACGGGGAGGTATAGATCGCCTAGCCCCCGACCTTCAGCAAGCTCCCCAAGGTCTCGTTCCCCAAGCCCGCGTCGGGAAAACTAGAGTCTGCGACCTGTGGAGGCAAGGCCGCTCTCGACGCTAATGCAGAAAAACCTCCATTGCTGACTCTGAACGACGACCGATTCAGAAACCGGTGCTTCGATAGTGACGTTGCTTCCGATTTGCGTGTGTTCATTGACGGCTACGAAGTCATCGGACTGGTAGATACCGGCGCAGATTATTCAGTGATGAGTAGCGGACTTTCTAAAATACTGAAGAAAGTGCTGACTCCTTGGAAGGAACGACAAGTTCGCACAGCGGGAGGGCACCTCATCGACCCTACTGGAATATGCACAGCAAGAATCGGAATACGGGGTTTCACGTACGTCGCCAGTTTTATTGTGCTGCCGGAATGCTCAAGAGACTTCATTATCGGCATGGATTTCTTACGAGCTAATGGCACTGTAATCAACTTGCGAGAATCTTCCGTCTCATTCTCGACTAGGCATCCGATTGCTACCTTTGAAACGGAAGAAAACGTATATGACCTTTGTATTGCAGATGATGGCGTCATGGTGCCGCCAAGATCGAGCATATCTGTCGCAGTAACCAACAAAGCATTCAATGAATTCGAAGGATTTGCTGACAACACTGCCTTACTACTCCAAAAAGTGATCTGCATGGTACGAGGCCTTGTTAAGTTACGTGACGGATGTGCAAATGTTCTACTCACAAACTTTGGAAATGAGGTGCAGCACGTTGCAAAAGGAACCGTCATCGTCATTCTGAATGATTTCGCCCAGGTTACAGAGCTGCGCACTTTCGAAACCAATCAGTCTGATTTCGAAGATGTGGAGTCTGTCCTTGCAGCCATCGGCATCGAGTCAGGCCTACTACCAAGCGAAAAAGAGCAAATAGAGGGTCTTTTAAGGGAATTCGCCGAATGTTTCTCGTTGTCATCTAAGGTTCGACGCACTCCTATCGCCAAACATCACATCATTGTCGATGAGTCAGTAAGGCCAATACACCAGCATCCCTACCGAGTGTCACCAAGAGAAAGAGAAGCTATTCGTAATCAGGTTAAAGAAATGCTCAAAGACGATGTAATCCTGCCTTCATCAAGTCTATGGGCGTCACCTGTTGTTCTTGTGAAGAAAAAAAACCAAACCTTACGTTTCTGCGATGATTATCGGAAGCTGAATGCCGTCACCAAACGGGATGTTTATCCTCTGCCAAGAATTGATGACACCCTGGATAGGCTGCGAAATTCCAGGTATTTTTCCTCATTGGATCTGAAAAGTGGGTATTGGCAGATAGAAGTTGACGAAAAAGATCGCGAAAAGACAGCGTTTGTGACACCGGACGGTTTATACGAGTTCAAGGTACTCCCTTTTGGCCTTTGTTCAGCACCCGCCACATTCCAACGGATGAAGGACACAGTGCTTTGTGGTCTTCAATGGCAGTCATGCCTGGTTTATCTCGACGATGTTGTAGTTTTCTCTCCTACCTTTGAGCAACATTTGGAAAGGCTCCGGGCCGTGCTCACTGCAATCAAATCAGCGCACTTGACGATAAAACCGCAGAAATGCCATTTAGGCTTCCGTGAGCTCCTTTTTGTCGGCCATGTCATCAGTGCAGAAGGCGTCCGTCCAGACCCTGCAAAAACTGAGGCCGTAGCAAGATTTCCGAAGCCTACAGACAAAAAGGCTGTTAGGCGATTTTTAGGTCTCTGTGCCTATTATCGATGATTCGTTAAAAATTTTTCACGAATTGCTGAACCACTGATGCGGCTGACAAAAGAGGAAATGCCTTTCGTATGGCTTGCCGAACAAGAGGATGCCTTCAATGAACTACGAAAGTGCCTTCAAAGCCATCCTGTTCTGGCGCATTTTGACGAGGAAGCGGAAACCGATATCCACCCGGATGCAAGCAATTTAGGTCTTGGGGCCGTGCTCATCTAATGGCAAAACGGACAAGAACGAGTGATTGCTTTTGCCAGTCGCACTCTTTCGAAAGCTGAGGTGAACTACTCAGCGACCAAGAAAGAATTCCTTGCCGTGGTATGGGCTATCAGCAAGTTTCGACCATATTTATGTGGTAGGCCTTTTCAAGCTATAAGCGACCATCATTCGCTATGCTGGCTGGCTAATCTCAAGGACCCATGTGGACGGCTTGCACAATGGAGCTTGCGATTACAGGAGTATGATATTACGCTTGTGTACAAGTCAGGTCGCAAGCACAGTGATGCGAACTGCTTGTCACGTGCTCCGATTCAACCTGCTGTTTCTGCTTCCACCGAGGATGGTGAAGATTTTATTTTCTCGGGAGCTATGACACCATCAGAGATGGCACATCAGCAGCGATCCGACCCTGAGATACTCCTCTTGATCAAGTACCTACAAGGACAGTCTGTCGATGTTCCACGACCTTTTGTCCGCGGCTTGTCAGCGTTTGTCCTACGAAACAACATCATGTATAAAAGGAACTTTGACAACAATACAGCGACATTCCTGCTTGTCGTCCCTTCACCTCTGCGACCAGAGATTTTGGAGGCTTGCCACGACGATCCATCAGCTGGACACTTAGGAGTAAGCAGAACGTTAGCACGCATCCGCACTAAATACTACTGGCCGAAGTTGCTTAGCTCTGTACGACACTATGTCAGAACCTGCCGGGACTGCCAAAGACGTAAAACGCCACCGCTAAAACCAGCAGGTCTCCTTCAACCGATAGAACCACCAGAAGCCCCATTCACACAAGTGGGAATGGACTTATTGGGCCCATTTCCTACGTCGTCATCGGGAAAACGGTGGATAAAAGTTGCGACCGACTATTTAACCAGATATGCCGAGACAGCGACTCTTGTTAAAGGATCAGCCG